AATTTCGTGGCATTTAGTGCATTCACGAGGTTGTGCAACCACCACCTCTCTCTAGTTTCAAAACTTTCTTATCATCCCAAAAGAACATCCTGTACCCTTTAAGTAATCACTCCTCATTTCCCCTCCCCCAGCAGCCCCCAATCTGCTTAAGTTGAAACAGAACCTGTAAAACATGTCGATAACATTTTTTGTGATTCACTGCTTTACTGACTCATTTGACTAATCTATGGATCCTATTCAAGTTGGGTAAGTGCACTATCCTTACAGCTCTGTATTACTTTTGCTTATTTTGTTGCCTGTGCCCCATCCTTCAGGTGTTTAGTGCTTTGCAGGCAAGGGTTGTGTTCAAGCTCTTATCCATGGGTCTGCAGCATGTGACACAATGTCTGGCAGACCGCGTGCTCCATGTTTGTGGGACTAATTCACGTTACCAAGAAGTTAATTAATTAGTTAATTAATTTGTCCACGGACTTATAGCTAGTAAATGGTGAGTCACAATTTAAGCCTATGTCTCTCTCACAGTGCACTAAGAAGAAAATGGGACCTGTTTGGGAAGTGAATTTAGGCAGCAATCACACTAAAATTGATATTGAGGAGGGCTTACTATGTTTTCAGCCCTTTTCAAGTATTACATCATTTAATCCTCCTAACAACCTTACGAGATAAATAGTACTATTAGCCCAGAAATTCTGGAGTGAGAGGTGGAGATGCCTGAATCCAATTCAAGTATTATAGAAAACCAGAGGAAGGCTTCAAGTCCAGGAGTAGCTTAGTCAAATGCCAGGATAAGACCATCATTTTATCACTTTAGTAACAACTTTTAGGACTGATTTTAGGGAAGAAAAAGTGAGGTAAGATGGCTGATCTGAATTAAGTCCTTGGTTGTACACATAAGTATCTTTTTCATGTGTTTCATCATCTACTTGGGCCTTTTGTCTTTGATTGAAAGTCTCTAGAAATTATACCTGAATACCACGGCGTTAATCACAAGCCTCCTGAAGTATTTTCATATTGTGTGCAATAAATGCCCATATACTTAGGATTTAAAGTAAGAACTACTCACCACAATATTTAGTTAAAATTACAAAGGGAGTACAAATTAAGCCATCGTTTTGTTAAGGTGTATATTATAAGTCTTATTTAATTTCCCCATGTTCTCTTATGTGTGTTTGTATAACTGTTGTGTCAAGACTTTCACTGATAAAGTATTTCAATTAGCTACTAAAAGAAATACATTTAAGGAGTTACAACTGATGTGCATTTGGACTAAATACCTATAATCAGAGTTGTTTCTCACCTGAGTCCCTCTTACCGATGTTATGTAACAAGTGGCCCTGATTGCTGGCAATAGCTCACTTAACATGGGCACATTTGTGTGGTAATCGCATAAAAATAATGACTCACTAGCACTTCAAAGAGAAACTGGTACTAGTTAGATTAGGTAAGTTATATGGTCACTTTATCGTATCTGGAAGTCTCATTCTTAAATCACTGGGATTTTTTAAACCCCTTTCTACAGGACAAGTTGGAGACCAGCTAAGAAACTAAATGGTATTGGGGGTGGGGAGGGGGGGAGGGGCAACAATTACAGAAACTGGTGAATGGAAGGAAGGGTGGCGAGTCACCTGCCTTCATGCTCACTCACCTCTATGTTTCTACCCACTTGTCACTAGCTTCCTGGGTAACCAGGGCTTAACGCTTGGGTGTAGTCTTATGGTCAAAAATGGCTAAAATGAGCTGAAAAGGCAGAGGCAGTGGTCGTAACAGTAGTAATGGTGAGGAGATTCAGTGCAGAAATGTATACATAGGAAAGTAAAGTTGTCCCCCATCCACTAGTGGCCTTTTCTGTCCCTGTGTGGTTTGTAGGATGATCGTATCCCTCTTCGACCATCTTCTGACATTGTCTTTTATAATCATAAAATCATCAGCAGCAAGGTAAATAATTTCTCTGATTTGTAACTGAGCCTAAGACGTTTATTCAAAGTTTAGATTAGAAAATTGTTACATTGTTCAATTTGATGACTTAAGTAGGCAGCTCAAGGTACAGGCAAATCCTACCTTTCCTACAAAGCCATCATGGGAAACCCAAGGCGGCCAAACAGCCTTCCCGTAGGAAGTTTAAAGAACGAAATCTACTTCTAAAATTATTTCCATATCTTAATCTGACCCGTTTATAAGAAATTCCATCTCTGAGAACTTTGTAGAAAATAGCATTCTCCCTCCTAGCTTTGCTCAAATTCATTTCCATGAGATAGTGGGCCTAAAAATGTGGTAAATCCAGTCTCTGAGAAGGCTTCTTTTTCCTATTCAGAGCTTCCTCATCCAATCTCATGTGATGTTCTTTATCCCAAGGAAATGTAGCTTAGCACTTGTAAATATCTCAGAGAATGCAAAACTTTGAAGGGGGAACTTTATTTTATAATAATTTAAATTTATTTAATATAATTTTAAATATATAACAAATACATTTACATGGTTTAAAAATTAAAATGACATCAAAAGTATACATTGAGAAGCTATGTTTCACCCCCTTTTCTCATCCGCCCCACTAATCCCTGATGCCCTCTCTAGGTTCGCACTTGCATTGGTTTCTTATGGGGGCTTCCAATGTTTTTTATGCATATACAAGCAAACATCAATTCTCATTCTTATTTTCCTACATTTCTTATACAAAAGGCAATATGCACTATATGTGTTCTGCAGCTTCTTTTTTCATATAAAAATATATCCTGGAGATCATTTCATATCAGAACATAGAGAGCATTTATTAAAACATATAAAGTGTCTTTGTCGACAGACACTCAGGATATTTAACTCTTAACAAACTTAACACCACAAACAGTGCTGCAGTGAATGCTGGTCTACGTGTCCTTTTGTACATGCACAAGTCTATCTGTAGGATACATTTCCAGAAGCAGGACATCATAGAATTTTGATTAAATATATGTTTTAACACTTATCAAAGAGTGGCTGGTATTTTAGTTAGTGTTGTCTGTTTCTTCACTATTTTATGAGCTTCTAAAAGGTATGAACTGTGTTTTATTCATCTTTACATCCATAGATACCCTACCACGGTACCTAGCATTTTAACACTGCATACAAAATAAACTTATCAGTGTAACTATAACCTTGAGAACATTAAAATAACCCCTCAACTTAAAAGGCTGAGATCTAAGGTGTAGATTAAGAGGCACTTCCGAGTTTCTATTTAAGGATGAAAATGGGATTCGTAAAATGCCAGGCCAAATGAAAATATTGAATAAAGAGTGGAAGTTTTAAGGATGTGACTGTTTCTTCAAATCCAGGGACTGGAACAATGTCATGTAAATTTTCTGGGTTATTCACACACAGAGAAGCTGAATGGTAAAATAGAGGGGAAGCCTGGAACACTCCTGCTGCATGAAGATTAGCCACAAATGACTGAGAACAGCACTTGCTCAGAAGCTTAGCCCAAGATAGGGAGTAAATGCACACCTGGAGTAGAATTTGAGCAGAGAGGAAGATTGTACAAGAGTGTGTGTGTGTGTGTGTGTGTGTGTGTGTGTGTGTGTGTGTGTGAGACAGGGTTCCAATTCACTTTCATCTCCATTCTTATGACTTGTGAATGGCTCTTGATTCTGCTCTCCAGGCCCACACTTGTCAGGAAGGCTGCTAGCAAGGAAACTTGGTGAAAATTCAGATCTG